TCATGTGTGGGGTTGCTTCTCAGCCAAGGGAGTGGGCTCACTCACAATTTTGAAGAACACAGCCATGAATAAAGAATGGTACCAACACATCCTCCGAGAGCAACTTCTCCCAACCATCCACGAACAGTTTGGTGACGAACAATGCCTTTTCCAGCATGATGGAGCACCTTGCCATAAGGCAAAAGTGATAACTAAGTGGCTCGGGGAACAAAACATAGACATTTTGGGTCCATGGCCAGGAAACTCCCCAGACCTTAATCCCATTGAGAATGTGTGGTCAATCCTCAAGAGGCGGGTGGACAAACAAAACCCCACAAATTCTCAAACTCCAAGCATTGATTATGCAAGAATGGGCTGCCATCAGTCAGGATGTGGCCCAGAAGTTAATTGACAGCATGCCAGGGCGGATTGCAGAGGTCTTGAAAAAGAAGGGTCAACACTGCAAATATTGACTCTTTGCACTACTACTGGTATACTACTACAGCACTACTACTGGTATACTACTACAGCACTACTACTGGTATACTACTACAGCACTACTACTGGTATACTACTACAGCACTACTACTGGTATACTACTACAGCACTACTACTGGTATACGACTACAGCACTACTACTGGTATACTACTACTGGTATACTACTACAGCACTACTACTGGTATACTACTACAGCACTACTACTGGTATACTGACTACTACTACAGCACTACTACAGCACTACTACTGGTATACTACTACAGCACTACCACTGGTATACTACTACTCTACTACTAACTACTAGGATACTACTACTGGTAATACTACTGGTATTACATACTACAGCACTACTACTGGTATACTACTACGGTATACTGACTACAGCACTACTACTGGTATACTACTACTGGTATACTACTACAGCACTACTACTGGTATACTTAACTATCTATCACTAAACTACACACTACTACGGATACTACTACTACAGCACTACTACTGGATACTACTAGCACTACGTATCTACTACAGCCACGATACACTACTGGTATCTACTACTACAGCACTACTACTGGTATAACTACTACAGCACTACTACTGGTATACTACTACAGCACTACTACTGGATATTACTGATACTACTACAGCACTACTACTGGATACTACTAACTATACTATATACAGCACTACTACTGGTATACTACTACACACTACTACTGGTATACTACTACTACAGCACTACCTACTGGTATACTACACTACTACTGTATCTACTACAGCACTACTACGGTATACTACTACAGCACTACTACTGGTATACTACTACAGCACTACTACTGGTATACTACTACAGACTACTACTGTATAACAGCACTACTACTGGTATACTACTACAGCACTACTACTGGTATATACTACTACAGCATACTACTATCAGCACTACACTGGTATACTACTACTGGTATACTACTACAGCACTACACTGGTATACTACTACTACAGCACTACTACTGGTATACTACTACAGCACTACTACTGTTACTAGGTATACTACTACGACTACTACTTACACTATGGTATACACTACTACAGCACTACTACTGGTATCTACTACTACAGCACTAACTACTGTATACTACTACTACGCACTACTACTACAGCACTAACTACTGGTATACTACTACAGCACTACCACTGATATACTAACTACTAACTATACAGCACTACTACTGGTATACTCTACATATACTGGTATACTACTACAGCACTACTAACCTACTGATACTAACTACTACACACTACTACGCGTATCTCACCTACTACTGGTATACTACTACAGCACTACTACTGGTATACACTACTATCACTCACTATACTAGCTAACTACTACAGCACTCTACTGTTACTACTAGGTAGCACTACTACTAACACTACTACAGCACTACTACTGGTATACTACTACTACAGCTACGTTACTTACTGGTATACTACTACAGCACTACTACTGGTATACTACTACAGCACTACTACTGGTATACTACTCCCTCATGTATACCAGGTACATCTTACATCACTGGTTACATACATGTTTTAAGTACTATGGTATAGACTACCTCACAGCACTACTACTGGTATACTACTACAGCACTACTACTGGTAACTACTACTACACACTACACTGGTATACTACTACAGACACACTTTACTACTGGTATACTACTACAGCACTACTACTGGTATACTACTACAGCACTACTATGGTATACTACTACAGCTATACTGTTATACTACAGCACTACCTACAGCACTCACCTACTGGTATACTACTTAAGCATACTATGGTATACTACTACAGCACTACTACTGGATACTACTACAGCACTACTACTGGTATTACTACTATGTATACTATACAGCACTACTACTGGTATACTACTCTACAGCACTACACTGGTAACTATACTACTACATCACTACTACTGGTATATACTACATCACTACATGGTATACTACTACAGCACTACTACTGGATATACTACTAGCATACAGTATCACCTACTACTGGTTAACTATACAGCACTACTACTGGTATACTACTACATACTATACCTACTGAGCAGACTACTACAGTCATACACGGTACTACTATGGTATACTACTACAGCACTACTACTGGTATACTACTACAGCACTACTACTGGTTATACTACTACAGCCAATACTACTACAGCACTATACTGGTTATACTACTACAGCATACTACTGGTATACTACTACTACAGCACTACTACTGGTATACTACTACTACACTAACACTACTGTATACTACTACAGCACTACTACTGGTATACTACTACAGCACTACCACTGGTATACTACTACTACTACTACTACTACAGCACTACCACTGGTATACTACTACTACAGCACTACTACTGGTATACTACTACAGCACTACTACTGGTATACTACTACAGCACTTCTACTGGTATACTCCTACAGCAATACCACTGGTATTCATGGGTTGCACGTTGCGTCACAATATTGTTTTGAAGGTTCGTTTTAGGACTGATGCCCAACTGCGCATCCTACTCAATGCATCCTCGTTGAAAGCTGATGAAGATTTGGTCTAAAGTTTATTACTATGGCTTGAAAACATGACATTTCTAAAGAAGGCAAATAATTGGTAGGAAAACCTTTTTGTCATCATTTTGATGTCGCCAGATTGACTTTAGATGCAGTATAACATTAGCCAGCTAGCTAAGATTGAGGGTAGACTTCCATAGTACAGTATGCAGTCATATGTACAGTGAGGGAAAAAAGTATTTGATCCCCTGCTGATTTTGTATGTTTGCCCACTGACAAAGACATGATCAGTCTGTAATTTTAATGGTAGGTTTATTTGAACAGTGAGAGACAGAATAACAAAACAAGAATCCAGAAAAACGCATGTCAAAAATGTTAGAAATTGATTTGCATTTTAATGAGGGAAATAAGTATTTGACCCCCTCTGCAAAACATGACTTAGTAATTGGTGGCAAAACCCTTGTGGCAATCACAGAGGTCAGACGTTTCTTGTAGTTGGCCACCAGGTTTGCACACATCTCAGGAGGGATTTTGTCCCACTCCTCTTTGCAGATCTTCTCCAAGTCATTAAGGTTTCGAGGCTGACGTTTGGCAACTCGAACCTTCAGCTCCCTCCACAGATTTTCTATGGGATTAAGGTCTGGAGACTGGCTAGGCCACTCCAGGACCTTAATAAGCTTCTTCTTGAGGCACTCCTTTGTTGCCTTGGCCGTGTGTTTTGGGTCATTGTCATGCTGGAATACCCATCCACGACCCATTTTCAATGCCCTGGCTGAGGGAAGGAGGTTCTCACCCAAGATTTGACGGTACATGGCCCCGTCCATCGTCCCTTTGATGCGGTGAAGTTGTCCTGTCCCCTTAGCAGAAAAACACCCCCAAAGCATAATGTTTCCACCTCCATGTTTGACGGTGGGGATGGTGTTCTTGCGGTCATAGGCAGCATTCCTCCTCCTCCAAACACGGCGAGTTGAGTTGATGCCAAAGAGCTCGATTTTGGTCTCATCTGACCACAACACTTTCACCCAGTTCTCCTCGGAATCATTCAGATGTTCATTGGCAAACTTCAGACGGGCCTGTATATATGCTTTCTTGAGCAGGGGGACCTTGCGGGCGCTGCAGGATTTCAGTCCTTCATGGCGTAGTGTGTTACCAATTGTTTTCTTGGTGACTATGGTCCCAGCTGCCTTGAGATCATTGACAAGATCCTCCCGTGTAGTTCTGGGCTGATTCCTCACCGTTCTCATGATCATTGCAACTCCACGAGGTGAGATCTTGCATGGAGCCCCAGGCTGAGGGAGATTGACAGTTCTTTTGTGTTTCTTCCATTTGCAAATAATCGCACCAACTGTTGTCACCTTCTCACCAAGCTGCTTGGCGATGGTCTTGTAGCCCATTCCAGCCTTGTGTAGGTCTACAATCTTGTCCCTGACATCCTTGGAGAGCTCTTTGGTCTTGGCCATGGTGGAGAGTTTGGAATCTGATTGATTGATTGCTTCTGTGGACAGGTGTCTTTTATACAGGTAACAAACTGAGATTAGGAGCACTCCATTTAAGAGTGTGCTCCTAATCTCAGCTCATTACCTGTATAAAAGACACCTGGGAGACAGAAATCTTTCTGATTGAGAGGGGGTCAAATACTTATTTCCCTAATTAAAATGCAAATCAATTTATAACATTTTTGACATCCGTTTTTCTGGATTTTTTTGTTGTTATTCTGTCTCTCACTGTTCAAATAAACCTACCATTAAAATTATAGACTGATCATGTCTTTGTCAGTGGGCAAACGTACAAAATCAGCAGGGGATCAAATACTTTTTTCCCCTCACTGTAGCACCTCGGAAGCAGGAGGGAATAAACAGGAAATCCAAAACATTTAGGAAAACCTGGGAATTTGGGGAAGTTAAGCCAAATTTTGCAACCCTAACTGAAAGTAAATCTATGTGTGACAGATCTTGTCTGTGCTGGTGTAGAACTCTCTGGAGGAACAGAGGTGAGCAGCCAGGTCTCTGGGAATGTTGAAGGGGGCAGCACTGCTCACCGCCAGAAGGTTGGCGCAGGTGGGCAGGTAGACGTGCTGGACATGGTCCACCTCTGACCGACACACCGGGCACACCTGAAAGGAAGAGATCAAAAGAGATTTGATTAGAATATAATATGCTAATTTAACATAAAAACACTGTAATTAATATATGTGACTTGTGGGGAATCAAACAGACTATTGTTCAAATACAGTCCTGTAGATGGTGCTGAACTAGTCCATATAATCCTGGATTAACGGTGTCCACAGAGTAGCTGACAGTACTGCCCTACAGGCATTTAACCTACGACCTACAGGTTACAGAAGGTTCAGGACAGCCAATAAACAATGGGAAAAGGGTAACTATAGATACTGCAAACATTCCTCCCGTCTACCACACCCCTCCTCACCAAATAGTTCACTTCATTTGCTTAAAAAGGGAATAACAGTACCAGCTCATTTCATTAACTCCCAACCACCCTGAGTTCAAAGTTCATTCAGCACAGTAAATCACTTGAACATGGCGTTATTGTGTAACATGGTCTAATGGTAGTGATGCCACCCCTGGACCACATTAAACCCATGGAGGCAGCGGTTCAAACCCAGACTGAGTAACTTTCCATTCTATGTCCCTCTCCTCTATCTCCCCATTTCAATCACTTCTTCACTGTATCTATCAAATAAAGACCACAAAATACCTAAACAATTATATACTGTACATATATATATACTTTTTTTTTTAACCGTGGCGTCAGGGTTACCTCTAGCTGGGCGGCACAGTTGTGGCAGCACACCATGTGTCCACAGGGGCAAAAGGCAGCATCCATCTGCTCTTCACAGCACAGGATACACAGCAGAGCATCCTGGAGCTGCTGCAGCTTCTCCTCCAGGACCCTGCTCCTCTGGCACCCCTCACAGCCTTCCTCCCCCACCCCAGGGGACCGCGACGGGCTCCTCTTGCCCTCCCCGCCGGACACACAGTCCCCTCCAATGCCGGCGTTGTAGAGCACCCGGCGGCAGTGGTCGTAGACCTCCTTGGAGGTGCGTCGGATGTCGAATACGTACTTCTTGCCCAGGTTGATGCTCTCGTTGAGGAAGAGAGACGCCAGGTGACCCTTGAAATCACGGCTGTACTGCATCATCACGTCGCTCGTCACCGTGTCACACCTGGAGGATCAGTAAGATCACGGTTAGTCTACGTGACCAAAAACACGAATCAACGTTAGAACGTTTTATTACATTGTGTAAAACTGGAATGAATCCACGTGTATACAAAAATGTAACTTAGCAGTAACTCCTCATGGAAATTGTCAGAGAAAATGTACAACATAAATTGTGCTGCATATTATATAATTTCTTACTGATCATTGGCTCACAGCAGAGATGTGTTAACGAGAGGAAAATGTTGCTCTGTGTGTGAGCATGTTTGTTGGTATGTAAACCATGCTACACGGTTGGTGGTCGCTGACCTGTAGAAGGCATGCTGTTGGTATGTAAACCATGCTACACGGTTGGTGGTCGCTGACCTGTAGAAGGCATGTTGTTGGTATGTAAACCATGCTACAGGGTTGGTGATCGCTGACCTGTAGAAGGCATGTTGTTGGTAACTAAACCATGCTACAGGGTTGGTGGTCGCTGACCTGTAGAAGGCATGTTGTTGGTATGTAAACCATGCTACACGGTTGGTGGTCGCTGACCTGTAGAAGGCATGTTGTTGGTATGTAAACCATGCTACAGGGTTGGTGGTCGCTTACCTGTAGAAGGCATGTTGTTGGTATGTAAACCATGCTACACGGTTGGTGGTCGCTGACCTGTAGAAGGCATGTTGTTGGTATGTAAACCATGCTACACGGGTTGATGGTCGCTGACCTGTAGAATGGCATGCTGGTTTGGTATGTAAACCATGCTACAGGGTTGGTGGTCGCTGGACCTGTAGAAGGCATGTTGTTGGTATGTAAACCATGCTACACGGGTTGATGGTCGCTGACCTGTAGAAGGCATGTTGTTTGGTTATGTAAACCATGCTACACGGTTTGGTGGTCGCCTGACCTGTAGAAGGCATGTTGTTGGTATGTAAACCATGCTACACGGTTTGGTGGTCGCTGACCTGTAGGAAGGCATGTTGTTGGTATGTAAAACCATGACTACAGGGTTGGTGGTCGCTGACCTGTTAGAAGGCATGTTGTTGGTATGTAAACCATGCTACAGGGTTGATGGTCGCTGACCTGTAGAAGGCATGTTGTTGGTATGTAAACCATGCTACACGGTTGGTGGTCGCTGACCTGTAGAAGGCATGTTGTTGGTATGTAAACCATGCTACACGGTTGGTGGTCGCTGACCTGTAGAAGGCATGTTGTTGGTATGTAAACCATGCTACAGGGTTGGTGGTCGCTGACCTGTAGAAGGCATGTTGTTGGTATGTAAACCATGCTACAGGGTTGATGGTCGCTGACCTGTAGAAGGCATGTTGTTGTTATGTAAACCATGCTACAGGGTTGATGGTCGCTGACCTGTAGAAGGCATGTTGTTGGTATGTAAACCATGCTACAGGGCTGGTGGTCGCTGACCTGCTTAATGCATGTTGTTGGTATGTAAACCATGCTACACGGTTGGTGGTCGCTGACCTGTAGAAGGCATGTTGTTGGTATGTAAACCATGCTACAGGGTTGGTGGTCGCTGCATGTTGTTGTTATGTAAACCATGCTACAGGGTTGATGGTCGCTGACCTGTAGAAGGCATGTTGTTGGTATGTAAACCATGCTACACGGTTGGTGGTCGCCTGACCTGTAGAAGGCATGTTGTTTGGTATGTAAACCATGCTTACATACACGGTTGGTGGTCGATGACCTGTAGAAGGCATGTGTGTTGGTAGGTAAAAAACCATGCTATAGGGTGATGGTCCATTGTGGTACCTGAACTAGCAAGAGCATGTTGTTGTGCATGTATTCACCATTTTCCGCATTTGTTACGTATGGTCTCTCTACCTGCAGAAGGTTAGTTGTGAATGTTGCCATTCCATCTAAACGGTTAGCTCCGGATGCATCCTGTTATTGACATCCCTTTAGGGTTGTGTCGCAACTGTGATAGGCATGTTTGGAATGGCAAACCTGCTACAGTAAGGTCCACCAGTTGACATGATGTTGGAGCAAACCAGCCAGGTTGGTGGTGTTGAAGGATTTTTGTATGAAACCTGAGACAGGTTGGTGGTCGCAGACATCTAGGGAAGGGTATGTAAACCTCTGCAGCATAAGGTTGGTGGTCCTGACCTGAATGAAGGAAGTTTTGGATAAACCAGCTTACCTAGGTGGCGCCCGGACTGAGCAAGGCTGTGTGGAGTAAATGCACACGGTTATTCGGTTAGGGCAGTGTTGAAATGAACCCGATGTCACTTGGGGTCGCCTGACCTGTGGGATGATTTTTGGGAGTAAACCTTCCAGGGGGAGGACTACCTAACATGTTGTGGGAATCAAACCCACAGGCCTTGTTTGGGCCGAGTGGAAGACAGAAACCTGCTCAGGGTGTGGCCACGAGAAGCCATGTGGTTTTTTTGCAAAACAGGACCTAAAGGACTTTCAGACCTGAGAAAACAAAGTTGTTGGTCTGTGAAACCAGATTACACTTGTTTGGACCTGTAGCAAGGGGTAGTTGGATGTAAACCTGGCACGGATGCTGACCGTAGAAGCATGGGGGTGGCCGGACAATCGTGCAGCTCTGGTGCATGTTTCTTCAGCGGCAGGGGCAACTAGTCAGCATGGCCAAGTGAAAGGCGCAAATCTCCAGAGGTCCTTGGGTGATAAACCTGATCCTAGAACAGGGCAGAGAAAGAGCGTAAGTTCACCTTCAAAGGACAAACCCTCACTACAGTTACACAGCCAAGAAAATGGGATGCTAGGGAAATCTTTGAAATGTCCTTGAATCACACCAAGCCCAGACTTGAAAAACGACTAACATTTGAGAAACCTTGAAAATACATAAAAACGTAAATACCTTATTTAGAGTATTCAGATTCGCAGAGGAGACTAAAAATGTAGCTCGGGTGCATCCTGTTTCCATTGATCATCCTTGAGATGTTTATACAACTTGATTGATTGGACATGATTTGGAAAGGCACACCTGTCTATATAAGGTCCCACAGTTGACAGTGCATGTCAGAGCAAAAACCAAGCCATGAGGTTGAAGGAATTGTCCGTAGAGCTCTGAGACAGGATTGTGTCGAGGCAAAGATCTGGGGAAGGGTACCAAAACATTTCTGCAGCATTGAAGGTCCTCAAGAACACAGTGGCCTCCATCTTAAATGGAAGAAGTTTGAAACCACCAAGACTCTTCCTAGAGCTGGCAGCCTGGCCAAACTGAGCAAACGGGGGAGAAGGGTTTTGGTCAGGGAGGTGACCAAGAACCCGATGGTCACTCTGACAGAGCTCCAGAGTTCCTCTGTGGAGATGGGAGAACCTTCCAGAAGGACAACCATCTCTGCAGTACTCCACCAATCAGGCCTTTATGGTAGAGTGGCAAGACAGAAGTCACTCCTCAGTAAAAGGCACGACAGCCCACTTGGTGTTTGCAAAAAGGTACCTAAAGGACTCTCAGACCATGAGAAACAAGATTCTCTGGTCTGATGAAACCAAGATTGAACTCTTTGGCCTGAATGCCAAGCGTCACGTCTGGAGGAAACCTGGCACCATCCCTACGGTGAAGCATGGGGGTGGCAGCATCGTGCTGTGGGGATGTTTTTCAGCGGCAGGGACTGGGAGACTAGTCAGGATCGAGGGAAAGATGAACGGCGCAAAGTACAGAGATCCTTGATGAAAACCTGCTCCAGAGCGCTCAGGACCTCAGACTGGGGCGAAGGTTCACCTTCAACAGGACAAAGACACTAAGCACACAGCCAAGACAACGTGGGAGTGGCTTAGGGACAAGTCTTTGAATGTCCTTGAGTGGCACAGCCAGAGCCCAGACTTGAACCCGATCTAACATCTCTGGAGAGACCTGAAAATAGCTGTGCAGCGACGCTCCCCATCCAACCTGTCAGAGCTTGAGAGGATCTGCAGAGAAGAATAGGAGAAACTCCCCAAATACAGGTGTGCCAAGCTTGTAGCGTCATACCCAAGAAGACTCAAGGCTGTAATCGTTGCCAAAGGTGCTTCAACAAACTACTGAGTAAAGGGTCTGAATACTTATGTAAAATGTGATATTTCAGTTTTATTTTTTATTTTTTTGCGCAAAAATGTCTAAAAACCTTTATTTGCTTTGTCGTTATGGGTTATTGTCTATAGATTAGTGAGGGGAAAAAACGATTTAATCAATTTTAGAATAAGGCCGTAAGGTAACACAATGTGGAAAAAAAGTGAAGGGGTCTGAATGCTTTTCGAATGCACTGTACTTCATATCTAATGTCTAACAGGAGAGCATTGCCTTGTCACGCTTTACTGTACCTGTAGATAGAACTACATAATCACGTATTAACGGTGTGTACACTGTAACAGGAGCGTGCTGCCTTGAGTCTGTATAACTGGTCAGTGTTGTATTTTCACCTTTGCTAGATCTGTATACAAAAAGACTAGTGTAAAAACTGCACACTAGAAAAGACAGGCAGCCGACCTTGACTTTAGTTTTTAGTTTTTTCCCACAGTGCATCAACAAAATACATGTTTTACATACAGCTCTGTCAGGGTAGTTTAGTGAATATACCTGTTGATGGGGCTGAAGTCCTCCTGACAGATGGTCACCCCTTCAGGGCCGACCCCTATAGCCAGCCTCTGTCCTTCTGAGTCCCTGGCCCAGTGCCACTCCACCCCATAGTTCTCCAGGGAGGACACCAGCTGTAGGGCCCGGTACTCTGCCGACGACTGGCTCAGACCCTCCAGCTCACGGTGCTTCTTCTGGATGCTGCAGACGGATCAGGGCAGGACGGGACAGAAGAGTTACATTTTTCTGCTTTTTGTTCTTGTTCTCTGTAGTTTTTGTAATGCTGTTCAATCACCCAACCATAGAATTAAAATGTTTTCTCCATTCTATTTAAAAATGTTACCAGCAAATAATCCCTGCTGTTTTTTTGTCCCCGCACTGGATCTTGTGTATGTTTTTTTTTCTTTTTTTTTTTTTCTACAAAATACTTTTACTAAAACTAAACTAAACACATGAGAACTGTATGTACTCTACTGCACAGTACTGAATGTACGTAGGTGCAGGGCAGGCTGAGTCAGCAGCCTTGTTTTTTTGGGGGGCAGAAGTCTTCTCCCAGGTCAAGGCAACAAACAGAAGACAGCTGTTCAGATGCCCTTCACAAAACAAAGGACATATTTGTATCATCTTGGATCTACAGCAGTTCTACAAGTCAGCACAGAGCAGTTCTTAGTAAGAAATGGAATGCAGGTGGAGTCTAGTTAGTCATTGCTGTGCTGACCTGTTGATGGTTGCCAGGTTGGGCTCCCGTCTGAAGATCTGGCTGGAGCAGTACTTGGCTGTGTTCTGGTTGTAGTCTCCGTGCTCAGCCTGGGCTAGGACGGCACACAGTTCCTTGGCCTGCTCAGCCTCCATCTGCAGGCTGCCACTGTCCAGCTCATCCTTTATGTGCATGAAGAACATATGTCTGGAGGAGAGAAGGATGTGTTAAGGGTTATATGATGGACATGAGGGAGAATGAGAATACAACTTCACAAAACTGCACTGATAATGGGAAACTAAACTAGCCATTTTTGCCTCGTCAAAACAGGACATTGCACTGCCAAGAGGAATGAAGATAGTCCTCTTTGTAGGCCCTAAATCTAGGTTGAAGATACTCAGGTTAGGACAACATAATAACTAGTATCACTGGTCCCTTTGTTTAGAATTCTTCCTCATTCATGCAAAGAGTTATGGGATATTAGAATCCTCTTGTTATCTTCAACCTAGCCCTAAACGAGGAAGAACAAGAATACAACTTCATTGATAATGGGAAACTAGCCCTCTGTGCATCCTCAAAACAGGAAGTTGCACTGAAAAGAGGAACGAAGATAGTCCTCTTTATAAATGACAGTTCTCTCATGTCTGCTATGAGCGCTTGACCCTTCTGTCCACAGGGTCAGCTATCCCTCTTATTGCCCCAGTGAGGAATGTGGGCAGGCAGAATTGCTGGTGTAGGCAGATCACGACCCCTGACAGTCCCATGCTACCAGGTGATAAACAGGAAGCCATTCCAAAACTACAAACTAAACAAACTCGGACTACAACAACTGATATTGATCACTTTTGTTGTTGTGTCGGTCTGTGATTCACTTCAAAGTATACTACTACAGTGTAACAGCAGTGTTAGTGGTGTGACAGCAGTGTTAGTGGTGTGACAGCAGTGTTAGTGGTGTGACAGCAGTGTTAGTGGTGTGACAGGTGTAACAGCAGTGTTAGTGGTGTAACAGGTGTAACAGCAGTGTTAGTGGTGTTAGTGGTGTAACAGCAGTGTTAGTGGTGTAACAGCAGTGTTAGTGGTGTAACAGGTTGTAAAGCAGTGATTAGTGTGTGTGACAGCAGCTGGTTAGTGGTGTGACAGCAGTGGTTAGTGGTGTGACAGCAGTGTTAGTGGTGTGACAAGCAGTGTTAGTGGTGTGACAGCAGTGTTAGTGGCGTTAGTGGTGTGACAGTAGTGTTAGTGGTGCGTGACAGTAGTGTTAGTGGCGTGACAGTAGTGTTAGTGGCGTGGTGATGACAGTAGTGTTAGTGGCGTTGACAGTGTGTTAGGGCGTGATGACAGAGTTGTAGTGGCGTCCAGTAACAGCAGTGTTAGTGGCGTGTTGACAGCAGTAGTTGTTAGTGGCGTGACAGCAGTGTTAGTGGCGTGACAGCAGTGTTAGTGGCGTGACAGCAGTGTTAGTGGTGTGACAGCAGTGTTAGTGGTGGTGTGACAGCAAGGGGTTCAGTGGTGTTGACAGCAGTGTTCGTGGTTGTGACAGCAGTGTTAGTGGTGTTTTTTTGTGACAGGCCAGTGTCGTTAGTGGTTTGTGGGGGGGAACCGCAGTGTTCGTGGTTGTGACAGTGTTGAACAGCCGTTGGTAGTGGTTTGTTGTTAACAGCAGTGTTAGTTACCATCAGATATTCACACTGGCCCTCTCGTTCACCAGCCAAACATAAAAATCCATATCTCCACTGGTCTCTCGTCACAGCCATACACTTAACATCAGATATCCACTGGTCTCTCGTCACAGCCATAACAGGTTAAACATCAGATATCCACTGGTCTCTCGTCACAGCCATAAACATTAAACATCAGATATCTACTGGTTATCGTCACAGCCATAACATAACATCAGATATCCACTGGTCTCTCGTCACAGCCATAACATTAACATCAGATATCCACTGGTCTCTCGTCACAGCCATAACATTAACATCAGATATCCACTGGTCTCTCGTCACAGCCATAACATTAACATCAGATATCCACTGGTCTCTCGCCACAGCCATAACATTAACATCAGATATCCACTGGTCTCTCGTCACAGCCATAACATTAACATCAGATATCCACTGGTCTCTCGCCACAGCCATAACATTAACATCAGATATCCACTGGTCTCTTGCCACAGCCATAACATTAACATCCAGTAGCTGATTTGGTTCTGGGTGCTGAGATTAGGCTACATATCCACATACCTGCTGCAATGCATCTACAGTAGGTAGCCTACAGTGGGTTGATGAATCTACAGTGGGTATATGAATCTACAGTAGGTTGCCTACAGTGGGTATATGAATCTACAGTGGGTATATGAATCTACAATGGGTATATGAATCTACAGTAGGTTGCCTACAGTGGGTATATGAATCTACAGTGGGTATATGAATGTACAATGGGTATATGAATCTACAGTAGGTTGCCTACAGTGGGTATATGCATCTACAGTAGGTAGCCTACAGTGGGTATATGAATCTACAGTGGGTATATGAATCTACAGTAGGTAGCCTACAGTGGGTATATTAATCTACAGTGGGTATATGAATCTACAGTAGGTAGCCTACAGTGGGTATATTAATCTACAGTGGGTATATGAATCTACAGTAGGTAGCCTACAGTGGGTATATGAATCTACAGTGGGTATATGAATCTACAGTAGGTAGCCTACAGTGGGTATATTAATCTACAGTGGGTATATGAATCTACAGTAGGTAGCCTACAGTGGGTATATGAATCTACAGTAGTAGCCTACAGTGGGTATATTAATCTACAGTGGGTATATTAATCTACAGTGGGTACATGAATCTACAGTGGGTACATGAATCTACAGTAGGTAGCCTACAGTGAGTATATGAATCTACAGTGGGTATATGAATCTACAGTGGGTATATGAATCTACAGTGGGTAGCCTACAGTGGGTATATGAATCTACAGTGGGTATATGAATCTACAGTAGGTAGCCTACAGTGGGTATATGAATCTACAGTGGGTATATGAATCTACAGTAGGTAGCCTACAGTGGGTATATTAATCTACAGTGGGTATATGAATCTACAGTAGGTAGCCTACAGTGGGTATATGAATCTACAGTAGTAGCCTACAGTGGGTATATGAATCTACAGTGGGTATATTAATCTACAGTGGGTATATTAATCTACAGTGGGTACATGAATCTACAGTGGGTACATGAATCTACAGTAGGTAGCCTACAGTGAGTATATTAATCTACAGTGGGTATATGAATCTACAGTGGGTATATGAATCTACAGTGGGTAGCCTACAGTGGGTATATGAATCTACAGTGGGTATATGAATCTACAGTGGGTATATTAATCTGCAGTAGGTAGCCTACAGTGGGTATATGAATCTACAGTGGGTATATGAATCTACAGTAGGTAGCCTAGAGTGGGTATATGAATCTACAGTGGGTATATGAATCTGCAGGAGGTAGCCTACAGTGGGTACATGAATCTACAGTGGGTACATGTATCTACAGTAGGTAGCCTACAGTGGGTATATGAATCTACAGTAGGTAGCCTACAGTGGGTATATGAATCTACAGTGGGTATATGAATCTACAGTAGGTAGCCTACAGTGGGTATATAAATCTACAGTAGGTAGCCTACAGTGGGTATATTAATCTACAGTGGGTATATGAATCTACAGTGGGTACATGAATCTACAGTGGGTAGCCTACAGTGGGTATATGAATCTACAGTGGGTATATGAATCTACAGTGGGTATATGAATCTACAGTAGGTTGCCTACAGTGGGTATACGAATCTACAGTGGGTAGCCGACAGTGGGTATATTAATCTACAGTGGGTATATGAATCTACAGTGGGTAGCCTACAGTGGGTATATGAATATACAGTGGGTATATGAATCTACAGTGGGTAGCCTACAGTGGGTATATGAATCTACAGTGGGTATATGAATCTACAGTAGGTAGCCTACAGTGGGTATATGAATCTACAGTAGTAGCCTACAGTGGGTATATTAATCTACAGTGGGTATATTAATCTACAGTGGGTACATGAATCTACAGTGGGTACATGAATCTACAGTAGGTAGCCTACAGTGAGTATATTAATCTACAGTGGGTATATGAATCTACAGTGGGTATATGAATCTACAGTGGGTAGCCTACAGTGGGTATATGAATCTACAGTGGGTATATGAATCTACAGTAGGTAGCCTACAGTGGGTATATGAATCTACAGTGGGTATATGAATCTACAGTAGGTAGCCTACAGTGGGTATATGAATCTACAGTGGGTATATGAATCTACAGTAGGTAGCCTAGTGGGTATATGAATCTACAGTAGTAGCCTACAGTGGGTATATTAATCTACAGTGGGTATATTAATCTACAGTGGGTACATGAATCTACAGTGGGTACGTGAATCTACAGTAGGTAGCCTACAGTGAGTATATTAATCTACAGTGGGTATATGAATCTACAGTGGGTATATGAATCTACAGTGGGTAGCCTACAGTGGGTATATGAATCTACAGTGGGTATATGAATCTACAGTGGGTATATGAATCTGCAGTAGGTAGCCTACAGTGGGTATATGAATCTACAGTGGGTATATGAATCTACAGTGGGTATATGAATCTACAGTAGGTAGCCTAGAGTGGGTATATGAATCTACAGTGGGTATATGAATCTACAGTAGGTAGCCTACAGTGGGTATATTAATCTACAGTGGGTATATGAATCTACAGTAGGTAGCCTACAGTGGGTATATGAATCTACAGTGGGTACATGAATCTACAGTGGGTACATGTATCTACAGTAGGTAGCCTACAGTGGGTATATGAATCTAGAGTGGGTAGCCTACAGTGGGTATATGAATCTACAGTGGGTAGATGAATCTACAGTAGGTAGCCTACAGTGGGTATATGAATCTACAGTGGGTATATGAATCTACAGTAGGTAGCCTACAGTGGGTATATAAATCTACAGTAGGTAGCCTACAGTGGGTATATTAATCTACAGTGGGTATATGAATCTACAGTGGGTACATGAATCTACAGTGGGTAGCCTACAGTGGGTATATGAATCTACAGTGGGTATATGAATCTACAGTGGGTAGCCTACAGTGGGTATATGAATATACAGTGGGTATATGAATCTACAGTGGGTAGCCTACAGTGG